CACACACACACACACACACACACAAGAGAGTGGGTGAAACATTCTCTCTCTCTAGCGCGCGCGCACTCCCCCTCCCCCCCGGGCCCCTCCTACAAACGCACAGAGGAGCGAGTGGACCATGGTCCGAGGAAACGGTTTGTCACAGTGATTCCTGTTCGTTTGTTTGCTTTTCATTTATGGAGCTGAATGACCTGCAGGGACCGCACACTCGAGCACTTGGACAGACCGTGATGGCCACACTGCCCGTCCACACCCGAGCACTTGGAATCCGAACTTCCACTTCCACATGCAATCGAGGAAGCAGTTTGCGATCCTCGTCTCTTCGATTATTTAATTCTGACACACCGTTGATTCATTACTCTTCGATTATTTAATTCTGAAGCACCGTTGATTCATTCCAAAAGGCAGAAGCATTCCTGGGGCGTGGTCCCACTAGCAAAGGGATCCGATCGAATGCCTGAATCTGGACGTGTTTGTGGAGAGGTGCAGGAAATCGAGATTGAGCTGCTTTTCTGCACCTCTGCTTAAAAAACGTCCAGATTCAGGATATTTATCCAAACCTCTTTGCTAGTGGGACCACGCCCCTGGTCAGCGGTCCGATTTCATTGAACTGAAATTTTTTTTGTCTGTTTTGCGGTCCGAAATCGATGGTCTTCACATGCACAAACTCGAAAATCATAAAGAGGTCCTTTAGGGACATCCGTTAAAATTGGAACATACAGAGAAGAGTAGCATGGCACACACATAAATGTGTGGTGTGTGGGAGAGTGTTGGCCATAGCCTCTGCTGCTACTCGATGAAGGGTGGGGACGATGAGAAAGGGAGGCGCAACTACTGACAAAATGCCCGGTCTTTGCGTTAGCTGGACCCCTACAGACGGCCCCACCCCATCTCTGACTACCGCTGTTGGGGCGGGGGGCAACATCTGTCTCTTATACACATCTAGATGTGTATAAGAGACAGCCCGTTGCCGGCCTCTACCCGCAGAAAACCTCCGATGTCCGGCCACCCACCCGACGGACCGCTCCTGGACCAGCAACCCCGTGGCGACGATGCC